AGGCACCTGTTACTACTAGCGTGGCACTTGTTCCTAGTAGCTTCTTGTTACTACTAGTAAGGCACTTGTTACTAGAAGCGATGCACTTGTTCCTAGTAGCTTCTTGTTTCTAATATTGTTCTTTTTCGGCGTTCGTTCTGGTCAGTTGGAGGCCAACGCTCTTAAGCTTGGGTGGAGTGTGGTAAGAGGTAAGTGGTAGCCTAAGTAGCTACTAGCTACTGGACGCAGGAAAAGTTCATGCTCGCACTATTCATGGCCCTAGACTATTCAAGGAAACGTGAATTAAAGGACACTGTTAAGTACTTAATTGGACCTGTAGCGCGAAGCAATCGCTAGTAGGGTGCAGGCCATCGCTACCAGGGTGGAGGCAATCGCTATTAGGTTGGATATTGTTCCTTTTCGGCATTCGTTCTGGTCAGTTGGAGGCCATCGCTAGTAGGGTGGAGACCATTCCTATTTGGTTGGAGGCCATCGCTAGTAATCTTGGTCGTGGTGAGAGCGGTATTTCTTGCCACACAATGCTTTCTTGTGCTGCAAAAACTTCTGTTTCCTACCTCGTAGCATGCTTGCAAAGAGTTGAGAGGCACGACCTCAAAGCAGGCAACAGCCGAGAACCCACAAATATCGTCAAAACAGGACAGCCATCGAAAGCAGTTTTCCTCCGGGTCACCGAACGCAAACGACCCTCATCAAAGGCAGGTCGCAGTGACACTCTCGGACCGTCCCGACCTGGAAAGCAAGGGATTCATGGTAGCGAGCCCCGTTCGTAGCGTCCTTGTTCCTAGTAGCGTGGCACTTGTTCCTAGTAGCTTCTTGTTACTACTAGTAAGGCACCTGTTACTACTAGTAAGGCACTTGTTTCTAGTAGCGATGCCCTTTGCTACCAGTAGCTTCTTGCTCCTAGTAGTATGGCCAGGACCCCTAGTAGCGTCCTTGCTCCTAGTAGTACGGCCAGGAGCCCCTAATAGCTTCTAGCTACTGAGAAAGCAGAACCTGGTTTGAGCGCCTGATGAATGCAAGCCCACCAGTGTGGGCCCGGTGAGGAGGATGCCTGCACATGCTGAAGAGCACAAACTCGACTAGTAACAAGAAGCTACTGGTAGCAAAGGGCATCGCAAGTAGGAACAAGAACGCTTCTAGTAGCTCCTGGCCTTACTACTAGGAGCAAGGACGCTACTAGGGGCTCCTGGCCTTACTACTAGGAGCATTCTTACTAGTAACAAGAAGCTACTAGCTACCAAGGCCTGGTG